ACACACACACACACACACACACACACACACACACACACACACACACACACACACACACACACACACACACGAAACTCTATATTAGTCTTTATGAGGAGGGGTTAATATCATCCGAGAAGGCACAGTGTAATGTGGTGAATTCATACAATGGATCTACACTTGCTTGATATCTGGCTGAGGTATTCTTTGGTATTCTAATAGTTGAATAGAAGTCGGTGGGTCGTCGATTGAACAGTATCTGTGGGTGATTTATACATATTTACATCATGCTCAGAGAAGAAGTGAAACATGATTGCAGTGCCATTTTCCCTGGCTTGTAACTTCTCACAGGAGCTCTCTTCCTAATTAAAGAGTAGATTGGATATTTCCCCCAGCAGGCCAGCTACTGCTGCTCCCTACATCTGCATTGCTTGACTTCAAAAATGGTCAACTTTCTAGTTCCTTCCAGGGCTCTGAATGTAGCTGTTCTCAATGCAAAGCACAATGAAGTGGTTTGAGCAGGTATGTGTGTGCTGCCCCAGCAGTCTGCCGGTCTGCAGAAGAGACGCCTGTCCGGTCACTGCCATGTCACCGGTTCTCCAGGCTTCACAGTAGTTAGTTGTCATTCGGATGCCCGCGGTACTCGAGCCGTGCCACACCAGTTTCTGAGGCCTTAAGTCATAACATGTGCAATTTATTAATTCATGTTTGTTCATAATATAAGAAATCATATTAATTGAGATAAATTGAAAAGTTAAAATATATTCAGAAATGTAGAAAATGCATGTTTATATACGTTTTGTTTTACTTACTGGCATTTTACTTTATTTCTGAATGTAATAATAAAATGTGACTTAAATACATGTTTATAGTGTACTATGTAATGTCTATATACATTGTTTTATTTACTGATATTTTGCATTATTTCTAAATGGATATTTATTATAAAATGTGACTTAAATACATGTTTATAATAGTTATTTTGTTTAATTGGTCTCACTTTACATTAGGTGTCTAAGTACTATGTACAATACAAAATGAATTGTTGTGAATTGTGTTGCATATCACTATTGCTGCTACTGAGGTGGGATACAGGTAAGGTTAGGGGCAGGTTTAGTGGTATGGTTAGGTTTAAGGGTGGGTTAAGGTGTAATTGCAGGAAGGTATTTTAAGCATAAATGTAAAAATATGTATGTACACAATAACTGCATCGTATCAAATGAATAATTTAAATGTAAGTACATAGTAGTTAAAGACACTTAATATAAAGTGGGTCTGTTTAATTTACTGTTATTTCACATTATTTCTGATTGTAATAATAAAATGTGACTCAAATACATGTTTTTAGTGTTTATAATGATTGTATATATTTTGTTTTATTTAGTACTGTTTTACATTATTTCTGATTGTAATAATAAAATGTGACATACACTGATGTGTCTGTGTTTTTTTTTTTCTGAACAATGCCATTTTGACCCGGTGTCACTTTTTTTCCCCAGCAAATATAGTGACTAAGATTAGCAAAATGCTGTATCAATTCTTGGTTTGTTCATTATTAGATAACTAAAAAATTACATATTGTAAGATATAGCAGTGTTTCCCAACCGCTTTCAAATTTTTCAAAACTTTGTGGCACCCTACACAAACACTACTGCTCAAGACCGCAGTCTACCTGCTCTGAACTGCTAAATGAGGATGAAGCTGATGGTTCAGAAGCATCTTAAGAACACTTTAATTACTTCTTTGATGCCACAGTTAAAACTATAGCCTAACTAATAAAAGTTGAAACATTATAATTGACAAGTGAACAGTCAGTAATAAAATAAGAACAAACATATGCATTTCAAGCTTAGATAAATACAACAGAACAAAGTTACAAATAAAATAAGGTCTAACAGTAGTATTCAGGTACATAAATGTAATAATTAAATGAAAAATAACACTGCATAGCATTCACTGAATAAATTAAAGATAGATTAAGCTTTGTTAAAGTTGTGTTTTGTTGTTTGATAAAATTGACACAGACAGTAGCAGGTATTTATAGGCTGCTGTCCCTTTAAGACCGTATACACGATCACTATAATGATACACATCTGTTTTCTTTCTGGTTACGTTCACTTCACTTAAGACCATAACCAACTGCGTTAACGAGAATACTTGCCGAAACAGGTATTTTAAGATAATTTTGTGTGTATGTGTCCGTTCAAGCGCAAGGAGACACGAAAGTGAACTGATTTCTGTGTCTGCTCTTTCTGAAACACGTCTCTCTGTGCGCGCACTTTTGAGAGTACCGAATTGAGCTCTCTTTCGCCTCTTCTTACGCTTGAATGGTAAGACTTAGAAAAATGTGCAGATGATGAACTTTCACTCTATAAACTTTGCAACTAACTCGCGGATCACATGCGTGCTGAACCGTGAGGCCTGGTTCAAATGGATCACGGACTTTTTTTACACGGCACCCCTGCTCTTGCCAGATGGCACCCCCGGTTGGGAAACACTGAGATATAGAACCTTATTCAAAGTGTTAGCAGATAAATTAATTCAGTTTACATGTCTGAGAAAAGTGAAAAGAAAAAAGCTGTTTACCAAGCCTGATCTGTCATGACGTTTCTTCCGTCAAAGGAATAAATCAGAGTAAGTGGATCAAAAACAGCCCCATTTCCAGAGAACATAGACATCCAGCTGTTGAAAAGCACATCTCCCTAGAGAGGAATCTCAAGAAGCTAAATTTAGATGGGCTGGACTAATTACATGTAATGAGAACACATTGATCAAAAACACTTGATTAAAATCTACTGTTGCAATCATGCTCTTTTACATACTTTGAGGTTCACCACTGGCAAGCTGAAGTGGTCCCCTTTCTTGACGATGCTGGAAAGGTCTTGTAGGTGAGAGGAGAGGAAAGCTCTGTAAGGGGATGTCAGGCCCCTGGCATGGGCCTGCTGGTAACATTGATAATCTGCCCCTCGGATTCCATGCATGTCCCCTGAGAATGGGGCATTGAGTGCCACCAGATGCAACTGAGAAGATCAAAGGTCAAAGATCACGTCAAAGTGCTCACCTTTTCATATCAATTATTTAAGATGCAACAAGGTTTAAGCAACCCTTACTGCTGGCACTGAGTGTGCATGCTGTGGAAAAACATGGTAGCCTGGCAGGAAGCTCTTTAACTCCTGCAAAAAACATTAGACGTTCACATCAGACACATTACAACTGAAATTACATTTTGATTCTAGAATAATTACATTTTTGAATCTAGAATATTTTAACAGTAATATTCTCTTGATTTGATAAGTGGAGACAAGCAATGATTCAAAGACCATACTAGGTATATCGGTGCCGTATCGGTTATCGGCCAATTTTAATTCACGAGTTTGTGTGCCCATATAATCTTAGCGTAAGTGGTAAACAGATTTGGCTTGCTGTCTGCTATAGAGGGGCTCAGAGAGGATATTCTACTCGAGCTCCGATTGCTCCCCTATAGACAGAAAGATAAATAAATAAATATGCATAAAAGGAGGAGATGGGGAGGAGGTGGGATGCCGAAAGGACTAACAGCGGAAGTGGTAAGAGGCTGTTTTTATACTTGGATAATAATTGGAAGATTAGATGGGTGTACTCCTCCCGAAATTACGTTTAATAACTTCACATATTTTGTAACTTATCAGCACGATATTGGATATTTAATTGTTCGTGTTCATTTAGATTACCTTTGCAATAATCACTTACTTTAAATTAACTTCAAAAAGTGAACTTTATAATATTATTAAATTTAATCTTTTACAAATCTCAAACAGTGTGTATACTGTTAATTAAAATCCAAACTGTTAAAAATATTTTTTGGTAAATGAAATAAAGTTGAAATAAAATAAAAAATGAATAGATATATTCATTAAAAATATAAATGATTTAAGGCTAAACAGAATAAAAAAAAACTTTAATCAACTAAATCAACAAAAAATTATATAACAACAAAACAAACAAAATAAACTAAAATTAAAATAAAAATTTATTATAGAACATAAATAATACTTAAATAAGGCTGATCTTAAAATGAATATCTATTGTTCATACTGTACATTATAATGTTGTGATGTCTAAATTCACTAGTAACATTTAAAATGACTGTATTATAAAATAGCATAGAATTTTAATATCAGCTGTGTGTATTGGTTATATCATACATAATATGAAAATAAGCACCTGGCTATGAACTTTAGGTACACTGCGGTCGCTGAGTCTGCTCAGGCCTTGTGACAAAGCAGATGTGGAACTGTCTTGGGGAACTGGGATTAGCTCTCCTAGCTAAAACACAAAAAACATTTGAATAAGCATTCAACAAAGAAATGTTGATCTATTTCCATTTGTTATGAAGGGAAATGTGAACAGTAGATACCTCAACTTTCTTCCAGCCCCCTCGTACCCTGATGTAAAGTTCACTCTTGTCTATGACATATGCCAGAGTCCCTTCTGCACCCTGACTGGTCTCTCTTATCAAGGTCTGAGTGTTTTTATATGTTCTCACCTGGGAAGGCAAAGTAAGCAGTCATAATCTAGACAAACATTAAAAAAACAAGATGGATTTAATCTTTTATGAGCTTGCTGAGTTTTGTGCCTTCTGACTTACAAGGTTTCCATGGCCAGGAGCACCAGGTGGCCCTGGATGACCTGGAGGTCCAGGGATATTCGCAGCTGAGACAGAAACAAATAAAAAAGAATTTTGATGCATCAGTAAGTTGTTGATAAGAAGTTTTAAGCCCTGATAAAGTCACTCAAAATTACTCTGGAGAGAAATCGGTTTAAGAATGCATTCGGGCTAGTCATCTAAAAAGTTTGGAAAAGTTAACTTTTTGCAGTCATGATAAAGGTGTTTGTTGTTACCTGAGCCATATGCAGACGGAGTGCCTGGTGGTCCAGGAGGTCCTGGTGGCCCTTGTGGTCCTGGACTTCCATAGCCAGGCAGTCCTGGAAGGCCTGGGGAACCAGTGTCCCCAGGAGGACCAACAATAGAGTCCCCTTTAGGTACCTAAAACACATAGCATCACATTGAGGCTGGAATGTGAGAGGGAGACACTTCTACTAACATTTATCAAAAGAAGCATAGTCTTAGTTCATGTCTTTGTTTCAGCTGACTTACCACAAGGCCTGTCTTCCCACGGAGCCCTGGTGGGCCAGGCAAACCTGGATCCCCTTTCTCTCCCTTTTGCCCCTTGTAGCCAATATCACCTTTAGCATCCTTAGAGACCCACACTCGATATTGTTAACAACAGCAATAGGCAATCATGAACAAAAAAAACTGTAGATATTGTGATCACTCAGTAATACTCAGTAATGTTAGTAATGTCAATTTTGATACATTTGAACTTACTTTGTTATCATTATAATCATCATTATTTATTTAATTAACCTTTTTTTTTTGTACTGTTTTTCTCTATGAAAGCCCTTGTAGTCCCCTGAGGGTCCCAAGACCAGAGGCGGACAGTAACTAAGTACATTTACTTAAGTATTGTACTTAAGTACACTTTTTGAGTATCTGTACTTTACTTGAGTATTATTTTTTCTGGGAACTTATGACTTTAACATCACTACATTTGAAAGACAAATATTGTACTTTTCACTCCACTACATTTCTATCAAGGTCCTCGAAGTACGAAATCGTTACGTAATAGCTTTGAAAGTTAGTAGGTGATTTTTTTCTTCTCTAAAACGTGACTTTCTTTTTTTCAGACAGTTTATCAGTAATCACTCTTGTAGGGCTACATGAAGAGATTTCCCAGCATTTTTTGAACACTGACCAGTTGCAAATGTGATATTTATTTGCAACAATTCAATAATAAGAAGTTAATATTGTGGTATATATTAGACACAATATTGTCTGATTTTGCTAAATTGTGTACGTGAAAATATTACCTATAAAGCCACAGAAGAACTGTTGTGCGTCTCCTAATAAAACACAATAGGTGTTGGACTTGAAGCAGCACTGCACAGACTGTTCTGTGTGTGACATCAAGTACCGTGAGAGCGATTAGACAGCATTTAAAATGTTTGTTTTGATGTCAAATAAGTCTGTTGCTGTTTTGCTCGTTTCTTAAAGCAGTGCTGCTGTTGTAAAGTTATACATCTACAGTTGTGTTGCTGGGTTTTAAAGCAGGTTTGATTTTTTTTTTCTTCCTTTATTTACAGGATTTCACTGTCCACTCTGTTCAAATGTGATTGAATGGCTACACATAGATGCTCTCACACACTGTCAGAGCTGTGTGAGATCACTACCAT